TCTGCACACCCCCTTTTCACCTCAGCTGACTCCTCCCACCTCTCTTTTACCCTGCCTCCATTTCCAACTTGTGACTCCTCCCTCGACTTTTTACCCTGCCCTCCTTTTAACGGATTAACTATTTTCACCTCTTTTACTTGCCTACATCCTCACTTGGTGATCTCTCCCATTTCTTTATTCCCTCCCCCCCCTATTGTCTGTCCTCCCCACCTTTCCCCTTCTCCATCACCCACCTTCTGTTGCTCTTCCATACATGTGGTATTCTGATGAGCATGTGCGGTTCTGATACAGGCATTGCTGACCTTCTCCCCCCCCCCCCCATCTTCCCAGGAAGTCTCTCGCTGGGGAAATTTCAGAATCACTGGCCTTCAACAACAGTCAACTTTACTTTTAGGTGGAATACCAGCTAAACAGCCCTAATTCTGATCCAACTCAACCAGCCATAGTAGTGTTGTAGGCGAGGCAGGAGATTTGTGCTGATTTCCTCTTCTCTTCCTTCCAGATACGAAGTACCTGCGCTCAGTGATGCCAAGGACGGTGGAGGAGGGGTTTTTCCATTATCTGGAGACTGTAGATGCGGCGGAGGTGACTGTGACCTCATTCCCGGAGGGATCGGTTGTATTTCCTAGAGTAGGTGTGGTTTGCATGAAGCTTCTGCATAAAGGAAATCAGGCACCATATCTGAAGGTTTTAGTCATGTGTAGGCCCTTTCTGAAGGTTTTAGTCATGTGTAGCCCTTTCTGAAGGTTTTTAGTCCATGTGAAGCCGTATCTCACGGTTTTGGTCTACGCTGAAGCCGTAGCTCGCGGTTTTGGTCTACGCTGAAGCCGTAGCTCGCGGTTTTGGTCTACGCTGAAGCCCTAGCTCGCGGTTTTGGTCTACGCTGAAGCCGTATCTCACGGTTTTGGTCTACGCTGAAGCCGTAGCTCGCGGTTTTGGTCTACGCTGAAGCCGTAGCTCGCGGTTTTGGTCTACGCTGAAGCCGTAGCTCGCGGTTTGGGTCTACGCTGAAGCCGTAGCTCACGGTTTGGGTCTACGCTGAAGCTGTAGCTCGCGGTTTGGGTCTACGCTGAAGTTGTAGCTCGCGGTTTGGGTCTACGCTGAAGCCGTAGCTCGCGGTTTTTGGTCTACGCTGAAGCCGTAGCTCGCGGTTTTGGTCTACGCTGAAGCCGTAGCTCGCGGTTTTGGGTCTACGCTGAAGCCGGAGCTCGCGGTTTGGGTCTACGCTGAAGCCGGAGCTCGCGGTTTGGGTCTACGCTGAAGCCGTAGCTCGCGGTTTGGGTCTACGCTGAAGCCGTAGCTCGCGGTTTTGGGTCTACGCTGAAGCCGTAGCTCGCGGTTTTGGTCTACGCTGAAGACGTAGCTCGCGGTTTGGGTCTACGCTGAAGCCGTAGCTCGCGGTTTGGGTCTACGCTGAAGCCGTAGCTCGCGGTTTGGGTCTACGCTGAAGCCGTAGCTCGCGGTTTGGGTCTACGCTGAAGCCGTAGCTCGCGGTTTGGGTCTACGCTGAAGCCGTAGCTCGCGGTTTGGGTCTACGCTGAAGCCGTAGCTCGCGGTTTTGGTCTACGCTGAAGACGTAGCTCGCGGTTTGGGTCTACGCTGAAGCCGTAGCTCGCGGTTTGGGTCTACGCTGAAGCCGTAGCTCGCGGTTTGGGTCTACGCTGAAGCCGTAGCTCGCGGTTTGGGTCTACGCTGAAGCCGTAGCTCGCGGTTTTGGTCTACGCTGAAGCCGTAGCTCGCGGTTTTGGTCTACGCTGAAGCCGTAGCTCGCGGTTCTGGTCTACGCTGAAGCCGGAGCTCGCGGTTCTGGTCTACGCTGAAGCCGGAGTCGCGGTTCTGGTCTACGCTGAAGCCGGAGCTCGCGGTTCTGGTCTACGCTGAAGCCGGAGGTCGCGGTTCTGGTCTACGCTGAAGCCGGAGCTCGCGGTTCTGGTCTACGCTGAAGCCGGAGCTCGCGGTTCTGGTCTACGCTGAAGCCGGAGCTCGCGGTTCTGGTCTACGCTGAAGCCGGAGCTCGCGGTTTTGGTCTACGCTGAAGCCGTAGCTCGCGGTTTTGGTCTACGCTGAAGCCGTAGCTCGCGGTTTTGGTCTACGCTGAAGCCGTAGCTCGCGGTTTGGGTCTACGCTGAAGCCGTAGCTCGCGGTTTTGGTCTACGCTGAAGACGTAGCTCGCGGTTTGGGTCTACGCTGAAGCCGTAGCTCGCGGTTTGGGTCTACGCTGAAGCCGTAGCTCGCGGTTTGGGTCTACGCTGAAGCCGTAGCTCGCGGTTTGGGTCTACGCTGAAGCCGTAGCTCGCGGTTTTGGTCTACGCTGAAGCCGTAGCTCGCGGTTTTGGTCTACGCTGAAGCCGTAGCTCGCTCGCGGTTCTGGTCTACGCTGAAGCCGGAGCTCGCGGTTCTGGTCTACGCTGAAGCCGGAGGTCGCGGTTCTGGTCTACGCTGAAGCCGGAGCTCGCGGTTCTGGTCTACGCTGAAGCCGGAGGTCGCGGTTCTGGTCTACGCTGAAGCCGGAGCTCGCGGTTCTGGTCTACGCTGAAGCCGGAGCTCGCGGTTCTGGTCTACGCTGAAGCCGGAGCTCGCGGTTCTGGGAACGCTGAAGCCGGAGCTCGCGGTTTTGGTCTACGCTGAAGCCGTAGCTCGCGGTTTTGGTCTACGCTGAAGCCGTAGCTCGCGGTTTTGGTCTACGCTGAAGCCGTAGCTCGCGGTTCTGGTCTACGCTGAAGCCGTAGCTCGCGGTTCTGGTCAAAATGTATTCTGCTACATGTCTTTGGTACTAAACAAAATCCCAACAAGTATATTGATTGGTTTGTGGGAAAGTTATATCATCTACAAACTATGGTATAGATACTGCAGTTTTTATTTTATTATTTTTTTTATACTAGTAATGGCGGTGATCAGAGACTTATAGTGGGACTGTGATAGTGTGGAGGGCAATATGACACTCACTGACACTGACATCACCAGTGACACTAATACAGTGATCAGTGATAATACTTATGCACTGTCACTGTACTAATGACACTGGCTGGGAAGGGGTTAAAGTGTTACTAAACCCCGGACCCCCGCATTCACTATATCCCCTCTCCCCGGACCCCGCATTCACTATATCCGCTCTCCCCGGACCCCGCATTCACTATATCCGCTCTCCCCGGACCCCGCATTCACTATATCCGCTCTCCCCGGACCCCGCATTCACTATATCCGCTCTCCCCGGACCCCGCATTCACTATATCCGCTCTCCCCCGGACCCCGCATTCACTATATCCGCTCTCCCCGGACCCCGCATTCACTATATCCGCTCTCCCCGGACCCCGCATTCACTATATCCGCTCTCCCCGGACCCCGCATTCACTATATCCGCTCTCCCCGGACCCCGCATTCACTATATCCGCTCTCCCCGGACCCCGCATTCACTATATCCGCTCTCCCCGGACCCCGCATTCACTATATCCGCTCTCCCCGGACCCCGCATTCACTATATCCGCTCTCCCCGGACCCCGCATTCACTATATCCGGTCTCCCCGGACCCCGCATTCACTATATCCGCTTTCCCCGGACCCCGCATTCACTATATGTGGTCTCCCCGGACCCCGCATTCACTATATGTCCGGTCTCCCCGGACCCGCATTCACTATATCTGCTCTCCCCGGACCTTGCATTCACTATATCTGGTCTCCCCGGACCCTGCATTCACTATATCCGCTCTCCCCGGACCCCGCATTCACTATATCCGCTCTCCCCGGACCCCGCATTCACTATATCCGCTCTCCCCGGACCCCGCATTCACTATATCTGGTCTCCCCGGACCCCGCATTCACTATATCTGGTCTCCCACAGTACACACAACATGGAAATGCAATTATTTTAGTAAATATAAACTGCTAAATATCTTTTCTCATCAGCAGTATATAGCAGTCTTGTGACTTCTATCAGTGTCCAGCAAAGCACTGGTTAAAGCTTGTAGGAGGCGTTTTCATTCTCCTCTCACTGTCCTATGAGACTGCAGGACCTCTGACCCTCTATTTAGACAGTGCTGATTGGCCCTGTGCTGATCACATGCACTCTGCCCAAGAAAGAGAAAAAAACTCTAGCAGTAAGCACCAAACTGAGCATGTGCAGAGTGTCCCCATGGCTATTTTTTGGAAGAAGGGGAGGATCAGAGAAACATCCTTTTTGCACAATGCAGAGGATTATACTGCGGGCGGGAGGTCTCTAAGTGTTTAATGGGTAACAGACCCCTTCCTCCTACATTCAGTAAACCAATCAATCCCTGTGTTTATGAAGACAATTTTGTATCTGACAGGAGCCATTGATGAAGGTGAGGGGTCCCCTCCTGGTGGTCCAGCTGCTGGAGACCACACTGCTGTGCTTGGTGAATTACGCCAGGTAGGTACCGTACAGCCAACCCACGGAGAGACACATAACTGGGTGGTCACCACTAGGGATGCACCGAAATTTCAGTGTCCGAAACGTGACGAAAACACCCCTGAAATTGAAAAAAAAAAAAACACTGATACGGGTGCCGGAAAAACCCCACCCCTTGCCGCTGCCCACCCCCTGTGGACGCTGCCGCCACCGGCCGCCGCTCGGTAGTTTAGATGAGAAACCATCAATCCATGGGCATAGAGATGAGTGAAGGAAAGATGGCCACCACTCATCTCTATGCCCTTGGAGGACCGGAGCGATGTCACTTCCTGTTGCGGCCACTTTTTTTTTTTCTTTTTTTTAAAGCACTGGATCAATGCTTTTTTTTTTTTTTTTTTTTTTTTTTTTTTGATGTGGGGTCTTATTGGCCCCTGATGTCCAACGCTTTACATTGCAGAGGCTTGTCACATTGTGCTTATTGAGGAGAGATGTGGGGCCCCTGATGTGACCCCATATCTCTCCATAAAGAGGACCTGTTACTAATTATATGTAATTAACCCCATATCTCCATGAAGAGGACCTGTCACTAATTATGTCTTATTGACCCCATATCTCTCCATAAAGAGGACCTGTCACTAATTACTTCTTATTGACCCCATATCTCTCCATAAAGAGGACCTGTCACTAATTATGTCTTATTGACCCCATATCTCTCCATAAAGAGGACCTGTCACTAATTATGTCTTATTGACCCCATATCTCTCCATAAAGAGGACCTGTCACTAATTAAGTCTCATTGACCCCATATCTCTCCATAAAGAGGACCTGTCACTAATTATTCTTATTGACCCCCCCATATCTCTCCATAAAAGAGGACCTGTCACTAATTATGTCTTATGACACCATATCTCTCCATAAAGAGGACCTGTCACTAATTATGTCTCATTGACCCCATATCTCTCCATAAAGAGGACCTGTCACTAATTATGTCTTATTGACCCCCCATATCTCTCCATAAAGAGGACCTGTCACTAATTATGTCCTAATTATGTCTTAGTGACCCCATATCTCTCCATAAAGAGGACCTGTCACTAATTATGTTTTATTGACCCCATATCTCTCCATAAAAAGATGGATCTCTCCTAAAGAGGACCTGTCACTAATTATGTCTCATTGACCCCCCACACCTCTCCATAAAGAGGACCTGTCACTAATTATGTCTTATGGATCCCATATCTCTGCATAAAGAGGACCCGTCACTAATTATGTCTTCTTGACCCCATATCTCTCCATAAAGAGGACCTGTCACTAATTATGTTTTATTGACCCCATATCTCTCCATAAAGAGGACCTGTCACTAATTATGTCTTCTTGACCCCATATCTCTCCATAAAGAGGACCCCCTAATTATGTCACACCTCTCCATAAAGAGGACCTGTCACTAATTTGTCTTATTGACCCCATATCTCTCCATAAAGAGGACCTGTCACTAATTATGTTCTTATTGACCCCATATCTCTCCATAAAGAGGACCTGTCACTAATTATCGGTCTCACTCTCATTGACCCCCCCCCTCCATAAAAGGACCTGTCACTAATTATGTCTTATTGATCCCATATCTCTCCATAAAGAGGACCTGTCACTAATTATGTCTTAGTGACCCCATATCTCTCCATAAAGAGGACCTGTCACTAATTATGTCTCATTGACCCCATATCTCTCCATAAAGAGGACCCGTCCCTAATTATGTCTTCTTGACCCCATACCTCTCCATAAAGAGGACCCGTCACTAATTATGTCTTATTGACTCCCCATATCTCTCCACAAAGAGGACCTGTCACTAATTGTGTCTTATTGACCCCATATCTCTCCATAAAGAGGACCCGTCACTAATTATGTCTTCTTGACCCCATATCTCTCCATAAAGAGGACCCTCACACCAGACCTCCTCTGTAACTTCATACTGCCAACACTGTAGAAATTTTTAAAGCATCACCCATGGAGATTTCTAAGTACCGCAATTTCACACCATTCCACGATCGTGCACAATTTGAAAGCGTATCTATGTACTCGATGTAACATCCTCTTTCATATTTTGCAGAAAAATTGGGGTATACATATATATTTTTTTTTTAATCAAAGCGTATTTTTTTCCAAAAGATATATATTCATTTTTAAAAACTGTGCATTTCGGTCATTTTGAATTTTCGGTTTCGGCACCAGAATTTTCATTTCGGTGCACTACTAGTTTGCTGTCCTGGGTCTGCATTTCCTCTGAGCATTTCAGATGCCTTCCCAACACCCAAGAGCATACCCGTACATAAAAGGGAAAATATAACAGTTTCCAGTTTAATTTGTTTTTAAAGTGTATGTAAAAGCAAAACTTTGGTGAGGTTTTAGAACCCCTGTGATGTATTTATTATCCCACTGGGCAATAAAAAAAAAAAAAAAGCGGACTTTCACCCTAAAGGACATGTTGTGTTGCCCTGCCTCTTTCCACCCTTCTCCCCCCCATACAAATAGAATTTTTTTTATCAAGTGATTTATTTGTAATGCAAGGCAGCACTTCCACAGTTCTTGCCTAGGCAAGAATGTCTCCCCAAGAGAACACTACAGCACATCTGTGCATAGGCTGGTTTCCCTGGTCCTCTGCAAATGCAGGGGGTTTCTTGCACTTGTGCAAATAATTTTTCCAGGGAGGTATGAAACCTTCCCTTTTATTTTGAGTGCGCAGAAAATCACCTACGGGTGTTTGCCCCTTTTCTTGTGGTTTTTTTTTTTGTCACACTTAAATGATTCAGGTCATCAAAAAAAATATGGTATTCTACACAAAGATAACCCGAGTAAATACAAAATGCAGTTTTCAAATTATTTCATTTATTGAGGGGAAAAAAGCTGTCCAAACCTGTCTGGCCCTACGTGATTAAGTTACCGCCTCCCTCCCTTGCTAAATCATGAATGAATGTGAATTAACCACATTTTTTGGAAAGCTTAAATTTCACTTGCCACATCCAGGTCTGATTACTGCCAGACCTGTTGAATCAAGAAATCACTTAAAGTGGAGTTCAACCTGAAAAAAAAAAAAATAAAAGTCAGCAGCTACAAAAACTGTAGCTGCTGACTTTTAAAATACAGACTCTTACCTGTCCCTTGGTCCAGCAGTGTCTTCCCCACCGCTGGTTTCACCGGCCGTCTTCTCTCCCTGGCGCTGGCATCTTCAGTGTGGGCACCCGGCTGTGACAGCTTGCGGCTTCACAGCCGGGTGCCCACTGTGCATGCGCGAGAAGCGATGCGCTTTGTGAATGGCCCCATAGTCTTCTGGGACCTGTCATGTGTCCCAGAAGACTATGGGGAGGGAGGGGGTTAGGACAACTTCCGCTTCCAAACGCCTAGGTGATCGCAGTGGAAGTGGGAGCGGGTACCTGTCAAATGCGGATATCCACTCCCCAAAGGTGCCAATCCTTAATGAGGAGTGGGGGACAAAGGCTTAAAGCGGAACTTCCCCTTTTGGGTGGAGCTCCGCTTTAAATAAAACTTTACTGCAACACCTATACTGTGATATTGTGTAGCTTTTCACTGTTCTACTTTTTTTTTGTTGTAACTATATTTTTTACAAACCAAATAATGTATTATGGAAAAAAAGAAATCACTTAAATAGAAGCTGTCTGACAAAGTGAAGCACTCTAAAAGATCCAAAAAAAACCCCACTGACACTGTACTAATGGCACTAGGCAGGAAGGGGTTAACATGAGGGGCGAGCAAAGGGTTAACTGTGTGCTGGGCGTGTTTTACTTGGGGGCGGGGTCTGTGTGCTTCACTGTAATCGCACTGCTCTGGATGGCTGTGCAGTATGCCTGAGCTGACAGGAGAACTGTTAGTAAACAAAACAGTCCTCCCTGTCGGAGATCCTTGGAAATCACTGGGAGCCGGCGAGTAATTGTCATATAATAGTGCCGCGCATATATCTCTATAACTTCATATATGAATTAAAGCATCCAGACCGTGTGATTATGCAACAATGGTGAATACACTGAATACCGAGCAATTACCAGCCGGGCATAGTGATTGACAGCTGCGGCTGCGAATGGCGGCGCGGGTAGGGTGCTTGCGCATGCCCCCCCTACCTGGAGATGCAAAATCACATATATAGTCGTGATTTTGCGCACCTGTGCCGCCCTGTAGCTGGATTTTTGATATAGGGCAGTCGGGAAGCTGTTAAAGTCCCTCTGAGGCTCGGTTCACACGTCTGCGAACTGAAAGTTGCTTGACGTACGGTGCGACTTTGCCCGGTGACTTCCTGGTGACTTGCTACCGCTTGATGCGGCATAGAATACAAAGCTTCCTGTGAATGGCTGAGCGGCCCTCAGTCCGATTCTATTTTGTCCTGGGGGAGTGACACAGAAAAGCCCCACCTCTTTGCCAGAACACAGCGCTGTATACTGTACGGAGCTGAGGCTCCATACAGTTACTAATGCCAAGCAAGTACACCGGTCAGTGCAGTACATTGTTTGGGCCACCCTGGTCCAAATGAACTATTTAAGGCAGGGGTAGGCAACCTGAGAGCCGCAGGACTACAAGTTCCATCATGCCTCTGCAAGTAATAGCTGTAACTGTCAGTTTTGTAATCTTTGCAATGCCTCATGGGAAATGTAGTTCCACAACAGCTAGAGAGCCGCAGATTGCCTACCCTTGATTTAACCGCTTCCAGTCCGGACGCTTTCCCCCCCTTCCAGTCCGGACACTTTCCCCCCCTTCCAGTCCGGACACTTTCCCCCCCTTCCCCGGACACTTTCCCCCCCTTCCAGTCCGGACGCTTTCACCCCCTTTCCGGACACTTTCCCCCCCTTCCAGTCCGGACACTTTCCCCCCCTTCCAGTCCGGACACTTTCACCCCCTTCCAGTCCGGACACTTTCACCCCCCCCTTCCAGTCCGGACACTTTCACCCCCTTCCAGTCCGGACACTTTCACCCCCCTTCCAGTCCGGACACTTTCACCCCCTTCCAGTCCGGACACTTTCACCCCCTTCCAGTCCGGACACTTTCACCCCCTTCCAGTCCGGACACTTTCACCCCCTTCCAGTCCGGACACTTTCACCCCCCTTCCAGTCCGGACACTTTCACCCCCTTCCAGTCCGGACACTTTCCCCCCCTTCCAGTCCGGACACTTTCACCCCCTTCCAGTCCGGACACTTTCACCCCCTTCCAGTCCGGACACTTTCACCCCCTTCCAGTCCGGACCTTCACCCCCTTCCAGTCCGGACACTTTCACCCCCTTCCAGTCCGGACACTTTCACCCCCTTCCAGTCCGGACACTTTTCACCCCCTTCCAGTCCGGACACTTTCACCCCCTTCCAGTCCGGACACTTTCACCCCCTTCCAGTCCGGACACTTTCACCCCCTTCCAGTCCGGACACTTTCCCCCCCTTCCAGTCCGGACACTTTCCCCCCCTTCCAGTCCGGACACTTTCCCCCCCTTCCAGTTGGACACTTTCCCCCCCTTCCAGTCTGGACACTTTCACCCCCTTCCAGTCCGGACACTTTCCCCCCCTTCCAGTCTGGACACTTTCACCCCCTTCCAGTCCGGACACTTTCCCCCCTTCCAGTCTGGACACCCCCTTCCAGTCTGGACACTTTCACCCCCTTCCAGTCTGGACACTTTCCCCCCTTCCAGTCTGGACACTTTCCCCCCTTCCGTCTTCCAGTCCGGACACTTTCCCCCCTTCCAGTCCGGACACTTTCACCCCCTTCCAGTCTGGACACTTTCCCCCCTTCCAGTCCGGACACTTTCCCCCCTTCCAGTCCGGACACTTTCACCCCTTCCAGTCCGGACACTTTCACCCCCTTCCAGTCCGGACACTTTCACCCCCCCTTCCTGTCCAGGGCAATTTTCAGCTTTCAGCGCTATCACACTTTGACAATTGCGCGGTCATGCAACACTGTACCCATATGAATTTTTTTGAGACAGATAAAGCTTTATTTTGGTGGTATTTATTCACCGCTGGGATTCTTATTTTTTTTGCTATGTAAATGAAAACGTCCAAAAATTTTGAAAAAAAGTGTTTTTCTTATAAAATTTTGCAAATAAATAATCTTTCATCATAAATCTTGGCCGAAATGTATTCCGCTATCTTTTTAGTAAAAAAAAAAAAATAAGCCAAATTAGTTTATAACCAAAAATTATAATTTTTAAACATTTTTTTTTTTTAAATTTTTATTTTTTTTTTTTATATTATTATTTATTTATTTTTTTTTTTTTTTTTTTACATACTGTCACCCTAGCAGTACAGTGTCACCATACAGAGGTCCCGTCCGACGATTGGTGTTTGACTGTGTCCGGAGGACACAGCGAGCACCGGATCGCGGTGCTGCGCGCTCCCAGGGAGCGCACACAGCTAGAAATGGCGGGTGCCGTTTATGAACGGCAACCCGCCCCTGGAGTGCCACCGTCCTGCTGTTTATAAACAGCAGGCGGACGGCAAGTGGTTAAGGGGACATCAAACATGGAGATCAGCTGTCATGTGCATTATGTCTAGGCCCCCCAGCATTACCAAAACTGCAACTAACCCTTCTGTGTGCTGCCACCCACCAACGCATGCATGTTGCGGTAAGGTGACGCAGATCTAAACACGCTAGCTTTACTCTGCAAGAACGTATGATGTTGTTTTTTTCTTTTCTCTCTTTTTTTTTTTTTAACACTTTGCTGTGTTATTTTAGCCTTGTTGCCACAAACGCTGCTCGCTTCCGCTTGGCTGTCGGCCCTGAAAAAAGGTTGCTGGAAATGGGTCTTCGGAGGGCGCAGGGACCAGACGGAGGGTTGTCCGCCTCGAAGTATTCCTACGTGGGAGGTGGGCCTCGCTGAAAGATTGTCCTGTGCAAGCTTTAAAGCCCAATTCCATAAAAAAAAAAAAAAAAAAATCAAAACCGTTGCAGTGGGGTCCAGCACACTGCAAGGGTGAAATGCTCTTTGTCTGGGGTGGGGGGGGGGGGGGGTTACAGAAGAGGCTGCATTACTTACCTGACAACCCACTCTAGTGCTCTCTACCTGTCCTTTAGCCCTTTCGCTGCCAGAGCCATTTCTGTGATTTTTGCACACAGCATGTTCAAAATAATAATTTTAGGCCTGAAAATAATATATTTTCTGAAAGCAGACACTCTAGAGCAGGGGTCTCCAAACTATGGCCATCCGACTGTTGAAGTACTACAACTCCCATCATGCCTCTGGAAGTCTTGCCTATGGCTGTCTTGCAAGGCCTCATGAGACTTGCAGTTCCTCAACACCTGGAGGGCCATAGTTTGGAGACCCCCCCGCTCTAGAGAATAAAATAGCGGTAGTTATTATTATTATTATTATTATTATACAGTATTTATAAAGCACCAACAGTTCGCTCAGCGCTGTACATTACAGAGGGGGACAGAACATGTGACAGAACAATACCAATACAATGCAAAACATGAGGGGATCGAGGGCCCTGCTGCTTGGAGCTTACAATCTAGGAGGGAGGGGATGGTGGCACAGGAGGAGATACCGTATATACTCGAGTATAAGCCGACCCGAATATAAGCCGAGGTACCTAATTTTACCACAAAAAACTGGGAAAAAAACTATTGACTCGAGTATAAGCCGAGGGGGGAGGAATAGTGCCCCATCGTTGGTGTCAGTGGGGGGAGGAATAGTGCCCCATCGTTGGTGTCAGTGGGGGGAGGAATAGTGCCCCATCGTTGGTGTCAGTGGGGGGAGGAATAGTGCCCCATCGTTGGTGTCAGTGGGGGGAGGAATAGTGCCCCATCGTTGGTGTCAGTGGGGGGGAGGAATAGTGCCCCATCGTTGGTGTCAGTGTGGGAGGAATAGTGCCCCATCGTTGGTATCAGTGGGAGGAATAGTGCCCCATCGTTGGTGTCAGTGGGAGGAATAGTGCCCCATCATTGGTGTCAGTGTGGGAGGAATAGTGCCCCATCGTTGGTGTCAGTGGGGGGAGGAATAGTGCCCCATCGTTGGTGTCAGTGGGAGGAATAGTGCCCCATCGTTGGTGTCAGTGTGGAGGAAAAGTGCCCCATCGTTGGTGTCAGTGGGAGGAATAGTGCCCCATCATTGGTGTTGGGGTAGTCATTGTGTCAGTGTGGGAGGAATAGTGCCCCATCGTTGGTGTCAGTGGGGGGAGGAATAGTGCCCCATCGTTGGTGACCCCTGCTCCAGCCTGGGCTCGCTCGCTCCCTCCCTCTCCCATGGTACACACTTACCGGTCAGATGTCTTCCTTCTCCGGCCGCTCTCCTCCTCTTCACTCGCTCCATCTTCGCGGTGGCGCTCGGCTCCTGCTCTCCAAGCTCCACCTCCTCGCCGGTGATTGGCCGCCGGAACTGTAGCTCAGGAGAGGCACACAGGCGCCCAATCACCAGCGAGGAGGTGGAGCTTGGAGAGCAGGAGCCGAGCGGCACCGCGAAGATGGAGCGAGTGAAGAGGAGGAGAGCGGCCGGAGAAGGAAGACATCTGACCGGTAAGTGTTTACCATGGGAGAGGGAGGGAGCGGCGAGGATTGATCCCGGGAGTGTGTCCAGATGACAGGGACGGCATGTCATCTGCAGACTTTGACTTGAGTATAAGCCGAGGGGGCCTTTTTTCAGCACAAAAAATGTGCTGAAAAACTCGGCTTATACTCGAGTATATACGGTAGCTGTGGGGGATGGAATGGTAGGAAGAGTGGAGGAGATCGGCAATTAGCTGAGGGTGGGGTAAGCTTGAAAATAATAATTATGTATTGTAATGTAGTTACAATTTTTTATGAAACCCAATATTACTGAAAAGGTAAAAAACACACTAAAGTTAAATTTAGGATAAACAAAGCAATGGATTACCCTTTCTTTTTTTGTAAAATATAAAAGTCAAGGTTGCACCGCGTAAATAGCTACCCAACATGTCAAACCTCACGTGCGCCTGTGAAATGGTGACAAACTTCAGTACCCTATATTTTCTATAGGAGACGCTTGTAAAAGCATGCATCGCAATTGGCGTTTTAATTTGTAGCGCCCCCGACGCGTGTGTTTTACATTTGTATGTGCTTATATATGTGGGGGGAGGGGGGGTGCTTTTATTTATATATATATATATATGTGGGGGGGCTCAAAAGTTTTTTGAGGGGAGGGGGCTTGTGCTTCAGTGTAACCTTTTTACAATTTAATTTTTTTTTTTTTCATCACAGAGGACAAAAATTGCCCTAAGTGATGCTTCTTTGGTGATATGTTCTCTTTACTGAGACATCCGGGGTCTAAAAGACTGTGCAGGTCTCCTATGGGTTCCACTGAATGGATGGTGCTGACCAATCAGATGCTGTAGAAGAGGAGAGAAAGCCGCAGGGATTTCAAATCCCCAGACCTGTGAACCAGCTTCTCTCTCCTCTCCATCAGTACGGGCTAGGCGGCATCTGATTTTTCATTACCGTCCATGAGAAGGTGCTGACCAATCAAAAGCCCTCTAACCCGAACTGTCATTCCTGTAAGGAGAGGAGAGAAAGCGGTTGGGATTTCAAATCCCCAGACCTGTGAGCCAGCTTTCTCTCCTCTCGCTGCAGCGATGTCAGTACAGGCTAGACGGCATCTAATTTGTCATTACCGTCCATGAGACGGTGCTGACCAATCAAAAGCCCTCTAACCCGATCTGTCATTTCTGCAAGGAGAGGAGAGAAAGCGGCAGGGATTTCAAATCCACGCCTCTTTCTCTCCTCTCCTTCTGCTGAGAATATGGAGCATCTTCCTCCATCGTATACACCCCCACATGCTCACTCTCCACTGCGGGAAACCTTCCTGCACCGCTCCTGTGTGAACTCAGGCTATGACAGGCCCGGGTTCAGACAGGAGCAGTGGGGAAACCGCATGCGATTTTGGACAGGAATCACATTCCTGTTCAAATCGCATGCTATTCTTTGCGGTGCAATTTGCATACGTTGTGTATTGACGCAAATCGAACTGCAAAGTATAAAAAAAAAAGCACTGATACTGTACTAATGACACTGGGCAGGAAGGGGTTAATGTGAGGGGCGATCAAAGGGTTACCTATGTGCTGGGAGTGTTTTACTAGGGGAGGGGGTGTGTGCTTCACTGTAAGCACACTGATCAGGATGACTGTACTGTGCAGTGTGCTCAAGCTGACAGGGAGAAAGATTGTTTGTAAACAAAACAATCGGAGATGCTTGGTAATTACCAGGCGCTGGCGGGTGATTACCGGCCAGGACCCGGTGATTGACATCCACGGACGCGAATGACGGCGCAGGTAAGGTGTGCCCACTGCTGGAGCACGCCCCCTACCCGGAAATGCAGAATGACGTATATATATGTGATCCTGCACACAGGCGCCGCCCTGGAGCAGTATATCTGCTATAGGGCGGTCTTTAAGGGGTTAAAATATCAATTTTAGAATGACTGTTAAAGTGTATGTTGGGGCAAAACATAAAAAAAAAAAAGTCAGTACATTCACATTTCCACAAGTTTTATCCCTTTGTACATATTACCGACACAAGAATATCTGTTGATCTACCAAAAATCCAGTGAGTTCTGCACTTCCTGTTACAAAAAGAGCTTCTGCTAGAAATTCAGCGAGCTAATAAAGGGGAACTCAATCAATATTGACCATTTTAAATCCTTACAGTGGGGAAAATAATTATTTGATCCCTTGCAGATTTTGTAAGTTTGCCCACTTGAAGGGTCTATAATTTCTATTATAGGTGTATTTTGACAGATATATGATCTGATAGAGACAGAATATCAACCAAAAATCCAGAAAAAATGCACGATACAAATGTTATAAACTGAGTCGCAGTTCAGTGAGTAAAATAAGTATTTGATCCCCTTCCATTCAACAATGATTCTGGCTCCCACAGACTGCTCATGTGGTGCACAGATCAGTCCTGTCAATTTAGGATGGTGTTGCTAACGACAAACTCATTATGCCTACAAAAGGCACCTGTCCCCAAATTCTCCTTCATCCATTCACCATCATGGACAAAAGGCTGTCAAAGGACGTCAGGGACAAGATTGTAGACCTACACAAGGCTGGAACGGGCTAGAAGTCCATCAGCAAGAAGCTTGGTGAGGAGACAACTGTTGGAGCGATTATTCGCAAATAAAAGAAATACAAAATAACCAACAATTGCCCTCGGTCTGGAGCTCCATTCAGGATTTTGCCTCATGGGGTAAGGATGATCATAAGAAAGGTGAGGGATCCTCCCAAACCTACACAGGAGAAGCTTGTGAATGATCTCAAAAAAGTTGGGACCAGTCAGCAATAAACCATTTGTAACACAATACGCCCCTATGGATTGAAATCTTGCAGCGCCCATTAGGTCTCCCTCCTCAAGAAGGCACATACAGTTGTGTTCAAAATAATAGCAGTCAGACATCACTAACCGGATCATTCACTGTTTTTGGTAGAAATGACATTTCTACATGGCAGATAATTTCCTAGCAGGTGTAGTAGAGTCATAGAAATCCAACAGACCCGACAGTCATGACATGCATGCTGCTGATTCTGTGTCATTGAATCAATCATTGAAAGGGGCGTGTTCACAATAATAGCAGTGTGGAGTTCTATTAGTGAGGTCATTCATTCTTTGAAAAACAGGTGGCAATGATTGCCCTTATTTAAGGAAGGAAGGCAGCAAATGTTGGACATGCTGGTTACAGTGCATTTCTCTCTGAAATTCTGAGGAAAATGGGTCGTTCCAGACATTGTTTCAGAAGAACAGCGTACCTTGATTAAAAAGTTGATTGGAGAGGGGAAAACATATAAAGAAGTGCAGAAAATGATCGGCTGCTCAGCTAAAATGATGGCAAATGCTTTAAAATGGCAACTAAAACCTGAAAGACGTGGAAGAAAGCGAAAAAAACTACCATTGGAATGGATAGAAGAATAGCCAAAATGGGGCGGGACTCAGCCAACAATCAGCTCCAGGAAGATGAAGGAAGGTGTGACGTTCCCTGTGAGGACTGTTACAATTAGAAGACGCCGATGTGAAGCCAAGCTATCTGCAAGAAGTCCCCGCAAAGTCCCACTGTTGGGAAAAGACGTGTGCTGAAGAGGTTACAATCTGCCAAAGAGCACATTGACCGGCCTAAAGAGAAATGGCGCAACATTTTGTGGACTGATGGAAGTAAGATTGTTCTTTTTGGGTCTAGTGGGCGGAGACAGTTTGTCAGACGACCCCCAAACACTGAATTCAAGCCACAGTACACTGTGAAGACAGTGAAGCATGGTGGTGCAAGCATCATGATATGGGGATGTTTCTCATACTACGGTGTTGGGCCTATTTATCGCATACCAGGGATCATGGATCAGTTTGAATAAATCAGAATACTTGAAGAGGTCATGCTGCCTTATGCTGAAGAGGAAATGCCCTTGAAATAGGTGTTCCAACAAGACAACGACCCCAAACACACCAGTAAACGTGCAACATCTTGGTTCCAGACCAACAAGATGGACGTTATGGAGTGGCCAGCCCAATCCCCGGATCTTCATCCAATAGAAAACTTGGGTGACATCAAAAATGCCGTTTCTGAGGCAAAACCAAGAAATAGAGAAGAACTGTGGAATGTGGTCCAATCATCCTGGGCTGGAATACCTGATCACAGGGGCCAGAAGTTGGGTGACTCCATGCAACACAGATGTACAGCAGTTCTCAGAAACAGTGCGACTACAACCAAATATTCATGAAGTCATTCAAAGGAAAGCAAAATCTTCAAACATTTCTCAGTTTATATAGTGAATGTTTGAGTTTGTAAAGAAGAATACAAACACTGCCATTTTTTTTGAACCGTCTAATATTCACTTTTCTTCAATTTTTTTCATGGAACAACACAAATTTGATGTATTTTTCTTCATGTTTTGATTTGGAATAGAATGTGTCGTGTTCCCAATGCATTTGTGTGGATGGAAATAAAAGCTATTAGAAGGATTTTCAGCTTTATTCACTTTTTTCAACACACTGCTATTTTTTTGAACTCAACTGTATATAGGAATGTCTGAAGTTTGGCAATGAACATCTGAAGGATTGGGGGAAAGTTCTGTGGTCCATTGAGACCAGAATTGAGCTCTTTGGCAATAACTTGACTCACCGAAGAAAAATGCTGACCATGACCCTAAGATCAAGCACGGAGGTGGAAACATTATGCTTTGGGGCTTTTTCTCTCCTAAAGGTACAGGCCGACTTTGCCGCAGTGACGGGCCAATGGACGGGGCCATGTATTGTAAAATCTTGGACGAGAACCTTCTTCCCTTCGCCAGAACACTGAAGATGGGTCGTGGATGGGTCTTAGAAGCACGTTAAGGTTGTCAGAACTTTGGCTCCGAGAAAATAATCAGTATATAATTTATGATCTGGAATTAAGGAGATTCCCTACTAATTTTAATAAATCAACTGATAATCAGAGTTCTTTATTTGTGCTAATTTGAAGACAAAATAAAAAAAGCAATAATATGTAAAAATATATATTTATTAATAATAAAATCAGTGCAAAATGGTATTGAAATGAGACAAGTACACACTATAGAGGGATATGCTTTGTTCATATTTCATGTATGAGGTTTATAACTACTTTAATTGAGATCCACATTCCATGTTACCCCTTTCTGATCTTCCGTGTCCCTCACTCTCCAGGCTTTGATTGCACCAGCAATGTCTTGGCAGGAAAGAGATTCGGCATCCCCGTGGCCGGTACCGTGGCTCACTCTTACGTGACTTCTTTCTCCTCTATAGATGAAGTACAGCGCTCGGTAAACGCTTATTCTTTCTTCTATATTGTTATGTGGTTGGCCTTTTCTGCTGACACTTTTCTTTTTTTCAAGGCTCTGCAGCCAGCAGGCGGCCAGGGAAAGGAGGTGGACTTCCTTGAGCTCTCTCGGACGTGTTTGGAGAAAGTGTGCCAGCTCTTGAAGAGGCCTCCGCACAGCACAAACACAGGCGAACTGGCGGCTTTCATATCCTACGCCATCGCTTTCCCTCTAAGCTTCCTAGTAGTGGTGGATACCTACAGTGTCATGATGTAAGAGGTGAATGGGACGCAGGCCTTGCACAGTTTATGTCTTGCTGTACTCCAGTACAACGGTCCCCCCCCACAGTCACACACTATTATACATTTATACAGCTCTAACATATACCACAGCGCTGTACAGAGATCACGGAGCCAGTCCTATTGGTCTCTGCACCAGAGGAGCTTACACTCTAATGCCCCCTCCCCCACAGTCACACACTATTATTATACATTTATATAGCTCTAACATACACCGCCGCGCTGTACAGAGAACACTGAGCTAGTCCCATCAGTCTCTGTACCAGAGGAGCTTACACTCTAATGCCCCCCCTCCCCCACAGTCCCATCGGTCTCTGTACCAGGGGAGCTTACACTCTAATGTCCCCTACCCCCACAGTCCCATCGGTCTCTGTACCAGGGGAGCGTACACTCTAATGTCCCCTCCCCCACAGTCCCATCGGTCTCTGTACCAGAGGAGCTTACACTCTAATGTCCCCTCCCCCACAGTCCCATCGGTCTCTGTACCAGGGAGCTTACACTCTAATGTCCCCTCCCCCACAGTCCCATCGGTCTCTGTACCAGAGGAGCTTACACTCTAATGTCCCTTCCCCCACAGTCACACACTCTCTATTATACATTTATATAGCTCTAACATACAATGTGCTGTAGAGAGATCCAGTGCTGTAGAGAGAGTCCCATCAGTCTCTGTACTAGAGGAGTATACACTCTAATGTCCCCTCCCCCACAGTCCCATCAGTCTCTGTACTAGAGGAGTATACACTCTAATGTCCCCTCCCCCACAGTCACATCAGTCTCTGTACCAGAGGAGCTTACACTCTGTCCCCTCCCCCCACAGTCCCATCAGTCTCTGTACTAGAGGAGTATACACTCTAATGTCCCCTCTGTACAGAGATCACAGCCAGTCCCATCAGTCTCTGTACCAGAGGAGCTTACACTCTAATGTCCCCTCCCCCACAGTCACATCTGTCTCTGTACCAGGGGAGCTTACACTCTAATGTCCCCTCCCCCCACATCACATCAGTCTCTGTACAGAGGAGCTTACACTCTAATGTCCCCCTCCCCCACAGTCACATCAGTCTCTGTACAGAGGAGCTTACACTCTAATGTCCCCTCCCCCACAGTCATATCAGTCTCTGTACCAGGGAGCTTACACTCTAATGTCCCCCTCCCCCGCAGTCACATCAGTCTCTGTACCAGAGGAGCTTACACTCTAATGTCCCCTCTCCCACAGTCACATCAGTCTCTGTACCACAGGAGCTTACACTCTAATGTCCCCTCCCCCACAATTACATCCGTCTCTGTATCAGAGGAGCTTACACTTTAATGTCCCCTCCCCCACAGTCACATCAGTCTCTGTACCAGAGGAGCTTACACTCTGTCCCCTCCCCCACAGTCACACACTATTATTATTATACATGTATATAGCTCTGACATATACTGCAGCGCTGTACAGAGAAAACTGAGCCAGTCCTATTGGTCTCTTCATCAGAGGAGCTTACACTCTAATACCCCCCCCACAGTCACACACCGTTTCCTGTTTTCTGTGCTGAAGTAAGCTATTCACAGCTCTTCAATTTGCCACATTTTGTGATGTTACGGCCTTATTCCAAAATGGATTAATTTAATTTTTTTTCTCCAAATTCTACAAACAATAACCAATAATGGCAATGTGAAAGAAGTTTGTTTTGAAATCTTTGCAATTTATTAAAAATAAAAAAAAACAACTCCCCCCCCCCCCCCCCCCCATGTACATAAGTATTCCCAGCCTTTGCCATGACACTCAGAATTAAGCTCTGGTGCATCTTGTTCCCACTGATCATCCTTCAGATGTTTCCACAACTTGATTGGAGTCCACCTGTGGGACATTCAGTGGATGGAAGTCCACCTGTGGGACATTCAGTGGGTTGGAGTCCACCTGTGGGACATTCAGTGGGTTGGAGTCCACCTGTGGGACATTCAGTGGATTGGAGTCCACCTGTGGGACATTCAGTGGATTGGAGTCCACCTGTGGGACATTCAGTGGATTGGAGTCCACCTGTGGGACATTCAGTGGATTGGAGTCCACCTGTGGGACATTCAGTGGATTGGAGTCCACCTGTGGGGACATTCAGTGGATTGGAGTCCACCTGTGGGACATTCAGTGGATTGGAGTCCACCTGTGGGGACATTCAGTGGATTGGAGTCCACCTGTGGGGACATTCAGTGGATTGGAGTCCACCTGTGGGGACATTCAGTGGATTGGAGTCCACCTGTGGGGGACATTCAGTGGATTGGAGTCCACCTGTGGGACATTCAGTGGATTGGAGTCCACCTGTGGGACATTCAGTGGATTGGAGTCCACCTGTGGGACATTCAGTGGATTGGAGTCCACCTGTGGGACATTCAGTGGATTGGACATGATTAGGAAAGGCATAAATCTGTCTATAGAAGGTCCCACAGGTAACCGTGCATGTCAGAGCACAAACCAAGCCATGAAGTCCAAGGAATTGTCTGTAGACCTCCGAGACAGGATTGTATGAGGGCCCAGATCTGGGGAAGGGTACTGAAAAATGTCTGCAGCATTGAAGGTCCCAATGAGCACAGTGGCCTCCATCATCCGTAAATGAAAGAAGTTTGGAACCTTGGTTTATTTATTTATTTACTTTAAATACATTGCAAAAGATTTCAAAATGAACTTCTTTCACGTTGTCATTATTGGGAATTGTTTGTAGAGAGTTGAGGGAAAAAATTAATTTAATCCATCTTGGAATAAGGCCGTAACATAACAAAATGTGGTCAAAGGTAAGAGCTGGGAATACTTTATGGATGCTCTGTATGTTTGTTTGTGTATATATATATTTTTAGTCTGTATATATGTAAATATGTTTTTATTACGCTGTTTGTAAGAATTTTAATAAATATTTACACTCTAATGTCCCCTCCCCCACAGTCACACACTATTATTACGATCATCGCCAAAATCCACACGTTCCTAACCCCAGAAACCACTAAACAGCTCATCCACTCCCTCATCATATCACGACTCGACTACTGCAACTCCCTCCTCACTGGCCTGCCTCGCCGCTGGCTATACCCGCTTCAGTCCATCCTGAATACGGCTGCCAGACTCCATCCACCTCACCAACCGCTCTGTCTCTGCCACCCCCCTCTGCCAATCCCTCCACTGGCCTCCACCCCCCTCTGCCAATCCCTCCACTGGCCTCCACTCAGTGTCCTCCACCCCTCTCTGCCAATCCCTCCACTGGCTTCCATTCAGTGTCCTCCACCCCTCTCTGCCAATCCCTCCACTGGCCTCCACTCAGCGTCCTCCACCCCTCTCTGCCAATCCCTCCACTGGCCTCCACTCAGCGTCCTCCACCCCTCTCTGCCAATCCCTCCACTGACCTCCACTCAGTGTCCTCCACCCCTCTCTGCCAATCCTTCCACTGGCTTCCATTCAGTGTCGTCCACCCCTCTCTGCCAATCCCTCCACTGGCCTCCACTCAGCGTCCTCCACCCCTCTCTGCCAATCCCTCCACTGGCTTCCATTCAGTGTCCTCCACCCCTCTCTGCCAATCCCTCCACTGACCTCCACTCAGTGTCCTCCACCCCTCTCTGCCAATCCCTCCACTGGCTTCCGATTGTGCAACAGATCAAATTCAAAATCCTAACTCTGACGTACAAAGCCGTCCACCATACTGCCCCGAACTACATCACTGACCTAATATCCAAGTACCGCCCAACACGCACACTCCGCTCCTCACAAGACCTTCTCTCTAGTTCCCTGGTCTCCTCCTCCCATGCCCGCCTCCAGGACTTCTCCAGGGTGTCACCCATCCTCTGGAACTCCCTGCCCCAATCCATCAGATTATCACCTACTCTCCTCTCCTTTAGGCGCACCCTGAAAACCCATCTCTTCAGGGAAGCCTACCCCACCCCCTGCTAACTTCCCGACCTCCTCCACTCTTCCTACCACCCCATCCCCCACAGCTTTATCCTCCTGTGCCACCATCCCCTCCCTCCTAGATTGTAAGCTCCAAGTAGCAGGGCCCTCAATCCCCTCATGTTTTGCATTGTATTGGTATTGTTCTGTCACATGTTCTGTCCCCCTTTGTAATGTACAGCGCTGAGCGGACTATCGGCGCTTTATAAATACTGTATAATAATAATAATACATTTATATAGTTCTGACATATACCGTAGCGCTGTACAGAGATCAATGAGCCAGTCACATCTGTCTCTGTACCAGAGGAGCTTACACTCTAATGTCCCCCCCCCCCTCCCCTGCAGTCACATCAGTGTCTGTACCAGAGGAGCTTACACTCTAATGTCCCCTCCCCCACAGTCCCATCGGTCTCTGTACCAGAGGAGCTTACACTCTAATGTCCCCTCCCCCACAGGCACATCAGTCTGTGTACCAGAGGAGCTTACACTCTAATGTCCCCTCCCCCCACAGTCACATCGGTCTCTGTTCCAGAGGAGCTTACACTCTAATGTCCCCTCCCCCACAGTCACACACTATTATTATTATTATATACATGTATATAGCTCTGACATATACCGCAGTGCTGTACTGAGATCACTGAGGTTCTGCACCTAAAGGGGCTCACACTGTAATGTCTGTTAAAGCTGAGGCTTTGGAAAGGTCATAAGGAATGTCCCCTCATCCCTGTGTTGCTTGGCAGGAGTGGTGTACCCAACTTCTGTGCAGTGGCCCTGGCATTACATCAGCTCGGGTACAGGGCGGTTGGCGTTCGGCTGGACAGCGGAGACCTGGCCAGGCAGTCTGTGGAGATTCGCAAAATATTCAGACTCTGTGCAGAGAGGTGAGTGTCTGTATTCAGAAGTGGCAAGTCCCTTATTGCAGCACTGAATGTATTCTGTAAAGCTGGACACCCTAAACCAGAGATCTCCAGACTGCAGCCCTTTGCTAGCCTTTATCCGGCACTTGGGACACTATTCCTCCCACTGACACCAACGATGGGACACTATTCCTCCCACTGACACCAATGATGGGACACTATTCCTCCCACTGATACCAATGATGGGGCACTATTCCTCCCACTGATACCAATGATGGGGCACTATTCCTCCCACTGACACCAATGATGGGACACTATTCCTCCCACTGACACCAATGATGGGGCGCTATTCCTCCCACTGACACCAACGATGGGACACTATTCCTCCCACTGACACCAATGATGGGGCGCTATTCCTCCCACTGACACCAACGATGGACACTATTCCTCCCACTGACACCAATGATGGGGCGCTATTCCTCCCACTGACACCAATGATGGGACACTATTCCTCCCACTGACACCAATGATGGGGCGCTATTCCTCCCACTGACACCAACGATGGGACACTATTCCTCCCACTGACACCAATGATGGGACACTATTCCTCCCACTGACACCAATGATGGGGCGCTATTCCTCCCACTGACACCAACGATGGGACACTATTCCTCCCACTGACACCAACGATGGGGCACTATTCCTCCCACTGACACCAATGATGGGGCACTATTCCTCCCACTGACACCAACGATGGGACACTATTCCTCCCACTGACACCAACGATGGGGCACTATTCCTTCCACTGACACCAATGATGGGACACTATTCCTCCCACTGACACCAATGATGAGGCACTATTCCTCCCACTGACACCAATGATGGGGCACTATTCCTCCCACTGATACCAATGATGGGACACTATTCCTCCCACTGATACCAATGATGGGACACTATTCCTCCCACTGATACCAATGATGGGGCACTATTCCTCCCACTGACACCAATGATGGAGCACTATTCCTCCCACTGATACCAATGATGGGCACTATTCCTCCCACTGATACCAATGATGGGGCACTATTCCTCCCACTGGCTCCAATGATGGGGCACTATTCCTTCCACTTATAGCAATGATGGGGCACTATTCCTCCCACTGACACCAATGATGGGGCACTATTCCTCTCACTGACACCAATGATGGGGCACTATTCCTCCCACTGGCTCCAATGATGGGACACTATTCCTCCAACTGACACCAATGATGGGACACTTTTCCTCCCACTGACACCAACAGTGGGGCAATATTTCTTCCACTGATACCATTGATGGGGCACTATTCCTTCCACTGACACCAACAATGGGACACTATTCCTCCCACTGATACCAATGATGGGGCACTATTCCTCCCACTGACACCAAGGATGGGACACTATTCCTCCCACTGACACCAAGGATGGGACACTATTCCTCCCACTGACACCAATGATGGGACACTATTCCTCCCACTGATACCAATGATGGGACACTATTCCTCCCACTGACACCAATGATGGGGCACTATTCCTCCCACTGACACCAATGATGGGACACTATTCCTCCCACTGATACCAATGATGGGGCACTATTCCTCCCACTGACACCAACGATGGGACACTATTCCTCCCACTGACACCAATGATGGGGCACTACTCCTCCCACTGACACCAATGATGGGGCACTATTCCTCCCACTGACACCAACGATGGGACACTATTCCTCCCACTGACACCAACGATGGGGCACTATTCCTCCCACTGACACCAATGATGGGGCACTATTCCTCCCACTGACACCAATGATGGGGCACTATTCCTCCCACTGATACCAATGATGGGACACTATTCCTCCCACTGATACCAATGATGGGACACTATTCCTCCCACTGATACCAATGATGGGGCACTATTCCTCCCACTGACACCAATGATGGAGCACTATTCCTCCCACTGATACCAATGATGGGCACTATTCCTCCCACTGATACCAATGATGGGGCACTATTCCTCCCACTGACACCAATGATGGGGCACTATTCCTTCCACTTATAGCAATGATGGGGCACTATTCCTCCCACTGATACCAATGATGGGACACTATTCCTCCCACTGACACCAATGATGGGGCACTATTCCTCTCACTGACACCAATGATGGGGCACTATTCCTCCACTGGCTCCAATGATGGGACACTATTCCTCCAACTGACACCAATGATGGGACACTTTTCCTCCCACTGACACCAACAGTGGGCAATATTTCTTCCACTGATACCATTGATGGGGCACTATTCCTTCCACTGACACCAACAATGGGACACTATTCCTCCCACTGATACCAATGATGGGGCACTATTCCTCCCACTGACACCAAGGATGGGACACTATTCCTCCCACTGACACCAAGGATGGGACACTATTCCTCCCACTGACACCAATGATGGGACACTATTCCTCCCACTGACACCAATGATGGGGCACTATTCCTCCACTGACACCAATGATGGGACACTATTCCTCCCACTGATACCAATGATGGGGTACTACTCCTACTGACCACCAACCCTGGCCATGTTTATTCTCACTGGTGCTGGGCCCAGGACATTTTCTACCTCAACTGGCGCTCTAAAGTCTGAAGGACAGTAAACTGGCCCTTTGAACAGTTTGGAGACCCCTGCCCAATAATTCATTATTGTCTAGGCTTCCCGCCGGCTGTACACATATAGTGAGCCTCTCAGTGGGTCGACTTTAACGCCGAGTGGAAGCCAATGTGCTTCCCTTGTAAACACTTTGCTGTACTGAGAGTGTGCTTCCAGCACAGTAACCAGCCGGTACCTGAAAGCTCCCGGTACATACTTGTGATTAGGAGCTTTCCAATCAAATGGCTACCAATCACAGGGGTCATGACTGGAGTGCCCGCCTCCTGGCATTTAAAACCTCTTTAACCACTTCCCTCCCGGTAAATAGCCGAATGGCGGCCGGGAAAACGCTCTAGATTTGACGCCATTTGGCGTCCTCCCCGCACATGCGCAGTTTTTCGCGCTGCAGAGTCACGCAACTGCGCGATCTATCAGACACGGCCGATGACAGATCTGAGTACCGGCCCCGTTACCGGTACCATGTGACCTGCTGTGACCAATCACAGCAGGTCACATGACAGTTGTATACAATGGATGGCTTCATTTATACCATCCATTGTATACTAGCGTCTAGCTGTGAATGGTCACAGTGATCACATGCAAATGTCAAATGTGGCCAAATCACAGCTAAGCACAAAAAAAAAAAAAAAGCCCTGAATGAAATCGATGTCATTCAGGTAAATGCTTTTGTAATTCTTTGCTATAAGCAAATTGTGTAAAAAAAAAAATAAAAAATACTGATGACTTCCCAAAGTAGTACAATGTTAGTATGGTAACATTGTACTACTTTGGACATAGTGAAATATGAAAAAAAAATCTTAAAAAAAAGAAAAAAAATATAAAAATAATAAAAAATTTAAAATAATAAAAAGATATATAGTTTTTTTTTTTGGGGGATATCTGTCCTGTCCTGACATTTGGGGGATATCTGTACTGTCCTGACATTTGGGGGGATATCTGTCCTGTTCTGACATTTGGGGGATATCTGTACTGTCCTGACATTTGGGGGACATCTGCACTGTCCTGACATTTGGGGGACATCTGCACTGCCCTGACATTTGGGGGATATCTGCACTGCCCTGACATTTGGGGGATATCTGTACTGCGCTGACATTTGGGGGATATCTGTACTGCCCTGACATTTGGGGGATATCTGTACTGCCCTGACATTTGGGGGATATCTGTACTGTTCTGACATTTGGGGGATATCTGTCCTGTCCTGACATTTGGGGGATATCTGTCCTGTTCTGACATTTGGGGGATATCTGTACCGTCCTGACATTTGGATATCTGTACCGTCCTGACATTTGGGGGATATCTATCTGTACCGTCCTGACATTTGGGGGATATCTGTACTGTCCTGACATTTGGGGGATATCTGTACTGTCCTGACATTTGGGGGATATCTGTACCGTCCTGACATTTGGGGGATATCTGTACCGTCCTGACATTTGGGGGATATCTGTACCGTCCTGACATTTGGATATCTGTACCGTCCTGACATTTGGGGGATATGTGTACTGTCCTGACATTTGGGGGATATCTGTACCGTCCTGACATTTGGGGGATATCTGTACCGTCCTGACATTTGGGGGATATCTGTACTGCGCTGACATTTGGGGGATATCTGTACTGCCCTGACATTTGGGGGATATCTGTACTGCCCTGACATTTGGGGGATATCTGTACTGTTCTGACATTTGGGGGATATCTGTCCTGTCCTGACATTTGGGGGATATCTGTCCTGTTCTGACATTTGGGGGATATCTGTACCGTGCTGACATTTGGGGGATATCTGTACCGTCCTGACATTTGGATATCTGTACCGTCCTGACATTTGGGGGATATCTGTACCGTCCTGACATTTGGGGGATATCTGTACCGTCCTGACATTTGGGGGATATCTGTACTGTCCTGACATTTGGGGGATATCTGTACCGTCCTGACATTTGGGGGATATCTGTACCGTCCTGACATTTGGGGGATATCTGTACCGTCCTGACATTTGGATATCTGTACTGTCCTGACATTTGGGGGATATGTGTACTGTCCTGACATTTGGGGGATATCTGTACCATCCTGACATTTGGATATCTGTACCGTCCTGACATTTGGGGGATATCTGTACTGTCCTGACATTTGGGGGGATATCTGTACCGTCCTGACATTTGGGGGATATCTGTACCGTCCTGACATTTGGGGGATATCTGTACTGTCCTGACATTTGGGGGATATCTGTACCGTCCTGACATTTGGGGGATATCTGTACCGTCCTGACATTTGGGGGATATCTGTACCGTCCTGACATTTGGGGGATATCTGTACCGTCCTGACATTTGGGGGATATCTGTACCGTCCTGACATTTGGGGGATATCTGCACCGTTCTGACATTTGGGGGATATCTGTACTGTTCTGACATTCTTGGACCTCAAGAAATTAGATTGGCTGTCAGTACTTCAGGATTGATCAATACTCAGATCTATACCATAGTTTGTGAACTCTATAACTTTCCTACAAACTAAATAATACATCCTAATTTGGGTTATTTTCACCAAAGACATGTAGAAGAATACATCTCGGCCTAAATTTATGAAGAACAATTATTTATTTGCAAACTTTTATAACAGAAGCAAAGAAAAATGTGTTTTGTTTTTTTTTTTCAAAATTTTCAGTCTTTTTTTGTTAATTTAGCAAAAAAATAAAAACCCCAGCGGTGATTAAATACCACCAAAAGAAAGCTCTAGTTGTGTGAAGAAAATTATAAAATTTTAGTCTGGGTACAATGTTGTATGACCGCGCAATTGTCATTCAAATTGTGAGAGTGCTGAAACCTGAAAAATGGCCTGGGCAGGAAGGGGTAAAATTGCCCGGTATTGAAATGGTTAAAAGGCTGGGAGGTGATGGCGGGAAGGGGTTAAACTGCTTCCTTTATTGAGCCCAATAGAACTTTCAGTTTAAATCAGCTGAAAGGTGTCCAGAGTCTAACAGTTGGCTTTCTTTAAAAAGAAGCACCGGACTGAGTAGAAAAGTCTCTCTTCTGCCAGCATGCTGCAGAAAAGGATCCCTGTCCTCTATATTCAAGCAGTCGCCTCTCCGCAGAGGTCCCGCACCATGCAGTACATGGTCGGCAAAAGGTTAATCACTTGTCCTCCTGAGGATTCCCCCCCACCCTTTTTGACCAGGTATTTTTTTGGGTTCTGACGCTGCATTAGTTTAACTGACAATTGCGCGGTCATGCAACACTGCACCCAAATTAAATTTACGTCCTTTTTTTCCCCCCACAAATAGAGCTTTCTTTTGGTGGTATTTGATTGCCTGTCCATTTTTATTTTTGTGCTATAAACAAAAAAAGACCGACAATTTTGAAAAAAAGAAAAAAAAAAGTTTCTTTTTACTTTTTGCTATAAAACATATTTCCTCTTATTTTCCAGATTTGATGTTCCAGCTTTAGAAACCTTGTCCATTGCTGTCAGTAACAACATCAGTGAAAAAAGCCTGAAGCTCCTGAGCAGGGCGGTGAGGTTCCAGCATCCTATTACTCATGTCACATACCGGACGGTCACAATTCCTCTGGACCTACCAATAGTATACCTATCAATAATATCACTCCACAATATACTACACTAGTCAATGGAAAAAGAGCCGCTAACTATTGGATCGTTGTTCACAGAACAACGATCAAATAGTGGCTCTTTCTCCATCCCCACACATAATCGTTACAGCCCGCTTTCTCGGGATTTTGATTCTTTTCCCCCGGGAGGAGCTAAATCGGCCATTTTGGCATTGATAGAGGATGACAACACCCCCTCTTCCTCAGCTTTTTTTAGAGGTCCTCCCAATGGGGAACATGAAGGATAAAAGAAAACTAGACGAGGCAGCAGAAAGAACCGACCAGCCAGTATCAGCAGCACTATAAAGATCTACAATTTATCTACCCACATTTTGTCTCTGTTGAAGAAGGGGTTAAGCTTTTTCACCAGTAGTGGGTCAGAATAAATTCAGGTCATTTTAAGACCTGAATAGGTTTATCCGGTCCCTGACCATTGACCCCTCGCCTACCGGACACTTATACCCCCTTCTTTACCAGGCCAGTTTTCAGCTTTCAGCGCTGTCGCACTTTGACAATTGCGCGGTCATGCAAGATTGTACCTGTCACGATCGCATGGTTGCTGCCACCAACATGCGACAATTGCACGACCGCGACCAACAGTAATACGTCACGCCCGCGGCGTCAGACCCCAAACCTTCTCACCAAACTCGTGACCGAAGGACCGGCCGATTTAAAACCGCGGTGTGACGCGCGTAACAAGGCCACACCCAGCTGCACCCTGCACAGCGATTGATGTAGGCCAAACACCCCTAAAAATGTAGGTAAGTCTCCGATCGTGCAAAAAAGGGCGGATTTACCCTGATGCATCGTTTGGAGCTGGAATGGAAATCGCCAGTGGTAGCGGATGTTCCTTTCCTGCAACATCTGGGTAAGGGGGCTTTTTTTCAAGTCCAGCTAATGGGCTACAATCTGTGCCTGCAGCCTGAGGTAAGGGGACTTTTTTTCAAGTCCAGCTAATTGGCTACAATCTGTGCCTGCAGCCTGAACGTGCTTTGTTACTGGGTCGGGTTAATTACGCAACTAACCCTTTCACACTGCCACCACCACTTTTTTTGAAAAAAAAAAGACTGGGAAACTCCCGTTATCAAATATACACTATCATGATTGAAAAGTCACCTGTCCAATGTGGACCCCACAGGCCAGTTGGGCAGAGAATTAAACAAACACAGTAGCGTCTCTTCAAAAGGCAGGAATTCGTTAATTGCAAGTAAGCGCTTAAAAACAGTTTAACACTTTCAGAAAGAAAGATTTATTACTAAAAGAGTCAAACAGGTGCAATAAAATATTTACAAAGAGATGTCACGAAAATATATATATATATGTATATAAAGATACAGCAAAGAGATAATAGGAAGGAAGTTACAGGGTTAAGTTACTTGCCAATATGCCTGGGTTTGTAAGCAGATCCACGTTGCAGAGCGGAAGGATCTTTGATCTCTCTTTTGTTACCGATGTTAAGTTGGGAGATGTGCTTTTGCTTCTCCTTAGGCTTGTCAGCCTGTATTTTTAAAATCCCTCTCAAGGGGGGGGAGCATCTCTGAACACTGGCCACTACGCTGTTTTGGGAGTGGTCAGGAGAACTCTGAATTAGAACCAACATCTGTCATAATCCATGACATGAAACATAGGGGAAAAATCCTGACTGAGGAATGTTCATTTCTTCTGTCATCTTTAACTGTTGGGTTCTGTGAGGTTTCGATTTCTTTCAAGTCCTGGGAGAAGCTGCCTTATCTGTTTTATGATGGGTGAGCCTACATAAGTTTCTCGGGTCAGTGCTTCCCAATTCACTGAGAAATGCTGGCCTTATCAGGACTAGGTGAGGAAAGTTACACTATCGCAGACTGCTCGGCACCAAACTAGGGATGCCTTAACCTGCGGTTGACCCCCTTAACCAGCACACACCAGCTGACAATGGGCCTCTCAGGAAGGGAGGGGGTAGGGAATGAAGGATTGAGAAATACCTCCAATAGAAAACGGGAACTCCGCGTCCAACTCTGATGAGCTAGTTTGCTACAGTACCCATATGAAATTTGTATCATTTTTTTTTCTCACAAATAGAGATTTCTTTTTTGGTGGTATTTAATCGCCGCTGGGCACTTTACTTTTTGCACTATAAACAAAAAAAGTGCAAAAAAAAAAATAAAATTTTTCAAACAGATACTTTTTCTCCTTTACTGATGTACGTTGATGAGGCAGCACTGATGGGGCACTGATAGGTGGCACTGATAGGTGGCACGGATAGGTGGCACTGATAGGCAGCACTAATGAGGTGTCACGGATAGGTGGCACTGATAGACAGCACTGATAGGTGGCACTGACTGGCATCACTGCTGAGCACTTACTGGCGGCACTGCTAGGCATTGACTGGCGCCATTGCTGGGCACTGACTAGTGGCACTGATTGGCTGCACTGGTGGGTGGCGCAGGTGGGTGGCACAGGAGGGTGCACTGGTGGGCACAGGTGGGCGTACTGCTGTGCGGAACTGGTGGGTGGCACTGCTGGGCACCGATCATCGGGGCACTGATTACACTGTTCAACAAATTTTTATTTTTTGCCAGTTTTGGAAACAAAAGGATCCATTTCTTAATGAATTTCACATTCTGAGTTCAAATATAACAATGAAATTTGTCAATTGGCTCTAGTTTTTCTGTAAACGGAAAGTTTTCTACTATAGGCGTAATGACTACATAATGCACAATAATTATATAGATAGATGTCTTTCCACAAATATAAAGCAAGTGATATTGACTACATAACAAAGCCTAAATGGCATAATATATTGCATAGGATTACCAAGAAAAATTATAGCCATAAGCTAAGTTGAATCATTTTAATACTTAGGATTCTCACTAGTTTTGTCTTCAGTTTGTGTCGGTTTTGCTTCTCTTGGCTTTTCTCTTGTATTCGAGGAAAGGGCTATCTCTTACAACTGCACGTGACTACACGCTTCAGGTTCTTCCTCACTTGACTCAACCACGAAGGATTCTGGTGCTTTAGGAATTGGTAGCCCCTCTCCATGAGGAACTGGACGTATTGCCGATGGAATATTTGGATAGTGCACAGATAACTTTTTCTTCTTATTTAGCCCTTTTACAATTGGAGGCACCATACAAAAGTAACAATTACTAACATGATCTGCTGGCTCTCTCCAAATCATTGGCACAGCGAAAGGCATAGATGCCTTTTTTCCATTCAACCATTGCTCCAGTGCCGTCCCACAAGAATTGCAGCATATATGTGGTGCCCAGCTCTTGTCCTGGTCTCCTATCTTGCAGCCAAAATACAAGTTGTAGGCTTTCTTAATCATTCCTGTTATCCTTCTTTTTTGTGAGATAAAAGTTATTTCACCGCAGATATAGCAGAAATTATCTGCTTTATTCACACAAGTTCGAGGCATTACTGAGTAGCCTATATAAGCATAAAACGAAATGTAAAGACGCTGTCCAACTACAATCAGCTACAGATACTGCAGCTTTTATGCAGTGAAGAGATGCAATTAAAGGCTAATATTGCATCATCTCAGTATACATGCAATTTTCTATTGGTCACCAGTATCAATTGCGCAATATGCAGCTGAAGTTGCATCATAATTTTGAATGGCTTACGTCATTAGATGGGTGAATATATCATGGAAACTAGAGCCAATCAACATTTTTTAGGGTCATTTTCGTTTTCAGCACCCCAGAATTATGTAAGATTAGCTAATTTATGCCCAAAACTTTTTACCTGTTGAACAGTGTTATCAGTGCCCCGATGATCGGTGCCGATCCCCGCTCTGACAACTGCCGCTTCTCGGCAGTACTTTCCTCACGCTCTGACAGCGTGAGGAAAGTGCAGCCGAGAACCGGCAATTGCATTTCCCGGTGATCAGCGGGTCATTGGACATGGCTGATCGGCCTTTTACCACATCACGTGATCAGCTGTGTCCGTATGACACAGCGATCATGGAGATTGCCGGGGGCGCGCAGGAGAGCTCATTCTGGGAGGACGTCATATGACGCCCTCCCAGAACTGGCCAGCCGCAGGGTAGACGTCATTCGGCTATCTGCGGTTGGCAAGTAGTTACAAGACACTTCTCAAACTATCCCACACGTTACCTCATCACAGACTCCAGACAATGAGTCCTCCCTTCAGGATAGTGACCAAGAACTAGTTCGGATCCTGGAAGAGTCAGATAACCATGTTGATAATGATGAATATTTCATTTCACTGGATCCAGACATAACTCGTACAGGTTTCAAACCCAAGTCCACTTTTCATCCAGTACGATCTAAGGGGCCATTTATAGAAACCTTTTATCAGGTTGTTTATAGAGATTTATTGACCCTGTGCGATTCCCCACCTGCCAGTAGAAACATCACCACCCCTGAGGCAAGAGGTCTTAAGGAGCTTGAACTGAACAAGAGCATTATTATCAAGCAGGTGGACAAAGGCAGCAGTTTAGTAGTCCAAAACACGGTTGAATACATCAACGACTCCATACATCTTCTGTCAGATAGTAATACGTATCAAAAATTTGAAAGAAGACCCGTTACCCGTATTTCAGAAGGTTCTTAATGGTTTCAGGGATGGAGTTCTAAACAAAAAAGAAAAATCGTTTTTACTCCCATCTGCAGTACCCCATATTTTTACCATCTCCCAAAGGTCCATAAATCTACCACCAATCTTCCAGGACAACCGATTGTGGCCTGCACCAATAGTTTTAGGAGTGGCCTATCCAAATATATAGATTACTTTGTCCAACCTTTGGTCAGCCAATTGCCCTCTTTTATAAGGGACTCAAGCCACATTATTGATGTTTAAAACAATATATTTCCCCCTGCCCACACCCCCCCCCCCCCATCCTATCCATCATCACTAACAACTCCACTATCACTCCCGCCCCGCAAGCCAAAGTCCTTGGCGT